GAAAGTAACGTCCCCGTCGTGCAGGTACTGCGGACATACTCAAGACGRCGCTGAGCACACATTTTTCGTGTGCCCGCGGTGGACAGACGCCAGACGGACGCTACRAACCAGGACAGGAGATTTGACCCYRGACAACATTGTGTCCGTTATRACTCAGGACCAGGACAAGTGGRATGACGTGTCGCGCTACGTRACGTACATACTCATACAAAAACGAATAGACGGATGCCTAGAAGGCTGACCAACAAACTGTGAGGAAAATCAGACATGCCGGCCAGCCCGAAGTAATGTGCACAACAGTCCCGGGCTGGTTTGGGGATAGCCGAAGTCAACCACTTCACAAAACATATATATATATTAATATTTTCAAATATATCACAATTTTATAAAAAGGAACCTTGAAAATTGTAATAAGTATTTAATTAAATAATTATATATATACTTCATATACTAATTATACAAATATATAAATTAAAATAATATTTATGAAATTATTATATATAATAAAAATAAATTATATTATATATATACTATATTTAATTAATTTTTTCAAATGTATCAATTTTATAAAAAGAAACCTTGAAAATTGTATAATAAATGTTTAATTAAATAATATAATATTTATTGTAAATTAAATTAAATTAATTAATAAATAATTATATACGAGTATATATTATACATACTTCATATAATAATAATAATAATAATGAAATGTATCTATCCATAAAAAAAAATATAATATAATATATACATGAATATATTATATAATTTTTTTTTTTCAAATGTATCGATAAAAAAATCGATCAAACCTTTGTGATATAATATCTACAATCATATCATGGTCTGTGTTATATAAACACAACAAAAAACATATTTCATAATAATAATAATGAAATGTATCTATCCATAAAAAAAAAAAATAATATAATATATACATGAATATATTATATAATTTTTTTTTTTTCAAATGTATCGATAAAAAAATCGATCAAACCTTTGTGATATAATATCTATAATCATATCATGGTCTGTGTTATATAAACAAAACAAAAAACATATTTCATAATAATTTAACATAATAACGAGCAAGGACACTTTCTGTTAATATATACTTTCCTTCTTCTTTTACATAAATACAAATCGGAAAATTGGTATGCTCTGCATACAACATGCATACACCTACCTATATACATATATTCATCACTATCTCTTTCTTTCTCTTATCAAGAAACCTTACGACAAATGTATAGCCTTGAAACGATGATTATTGCAAGAATGCTGACCATAATTTATAAATAATATCATCAACTCGATTTAATTCGACATTGCAATCATTTTTTTTTTTTTTTTTTATAAATTTCATTTTAATTTTCATTTACTTGTGCTACTTTCTCATATAATTATTTATAAATAATAATGATAATAATAATAACAATAATAATCATAATAATCATAATAATAATACAATTCATTATCCACTATTTTATTCTTCCTTTTATTTTCTTCTGGATGATAAACAAAAAATTCTATAATAGTTTTATTTATAAAAAAAAAAAATGAGATTTTTCCTTTTAACACGTTGATTTCCACGTCAATCATCGATGACTGACATTGAACTTTCAATTCAGGCCGTGTCAGGCACATGTGTCTGACGTTCAACTTAAAAAACTGTACGTTTTGATACACGTGGCCTGACGAAGAGATTTTCGTAAAAATTCCCGTTGCGTTTAACAACATGTTATAAAAGAAAGTTGAAATAAATCAAAGATTTTTGTTTAATTCAATCAACATTTCAAATTGCATTAATGCAATTTACTATTGTTATAACAAAAAGTAAATGTGTTTAATAAAAGAAATCTTGATAATGAAGAAAAATAAAATATAAATACAAAGGTCATTCACTTAACTAAAATCATCACCTTGTCTTAACATCATCGTTTATTTCCTAGAATAAAAATGATTGACAGAGTGTCAAAAAAAAAAATGAGGAAGGAAAAAGGGGGGAAATATAAATAAAAGAAATATAAATGCAAATGAACGTTTGAGATGTTCATACAAAGGAAAAAAGAAAAAAAAAGAAAAAAAAAAAGAATCTTCTGACTGTATGAGAAGACATTTCACAATATTTTTGTTAGTCGAAGGTCAACACGTGGGTACCTTTCTTTGATTAATTTTTTTTTTTTTTTTGCTAGAAGATTATTAGCTATTTAAAGTATAGAACAAAAAAAAAAAAAAAGAAAAAAATTAATACGATGACTTTGAAATCTCGAAGAAAAAGAAGAAAAAAAAATAACCAAATTGATGAAAATGATTTGAAGTAAAAAATTCAGTCAGCCCATCATCAACTTCGAACAAAATGATATTCTTTTAATTTTTTTGTATAATAGGAAATAAACGATGTATATTTTAAAGATGAATTTTATTTGATGAATTATTTGTCAGTATAAATATATATATATATATATGTATAATAATGTTTATATAATTTGAAATGACTCACCGGATTTGTTATCCATGAGATCCCTGTAACCATGAATCAAATCTGCCACGATATTCGTCATCTTGATATAAATCTGAAAAAATAAAAAAACAAAGAAAACAATTTTTTTTATTATAATATAAATCAAAATAAATAATTATAAATTAAAATTGTATTATGCATAGTTAAGTATATACAATATTAACCCTTAAAGTGCACATAGGGGGTGCTTGACACCCCAACAAATTTGTGATCTCTCCAAAACTGTACTGAATTCGACAAAATATTTAGTGCCATCTAGTGTTAATTCAAATTAGTATATAACCTATTCTATTTTAAAAAAGATGTATCAAACTACTTCAAAAAAAAATTGGGAGGTTTAAATATTAAAATAGCAGCTTCAGGAGACGCGTTCAAACACATGGGGTGTTTGACACCCCAGAAATTTGTGATCTCTCAAAAACTGTACTGAATTCGAAAAAATATTTAGTGCCATCTAGTGTTAATTCAGATGAGTATAAAACCTATTCTATTTGAAAAAAGATGTATCAAACTACTTTCAAAAAAATTGCGAGGTTAAATATTAAAATAGCGGCTTCAGGAGACGCGATCAAACACATGGGGTGTTCGACACCCCAGAAATCTTTGATCTCTCGAAAACTGTACTGAATTCGAAAAAATATTTAGTGCCATCTAGTGTTAATTCAAATTAGTATAAAACCTATTCTATTTGAAAAAAGATGTATCAAACTACTTCAAAAAAAAATTGGGAGGTTTAAATATTAAAATAGCAGCTTCAGGAGACGCGTTCAAACACATGTTTGACACCCCAGAAATTTGTGATCTCTCAAAAACTGTACTGAATTCGAAAAAATATTTAGTGCCATCTAGTGTTAATTCAGATGAGTATAAAACCTATTCTATTTGAAAAAAGATGTATCAAACTACTTCAAAAAAAATTGCGAGGTTTAAATATTAAAATAGCAGCTTCAGGAGACGTGATCAAACACATCGGGTGTTCGACACCCCAGAAATCTTTGATCTCTCGAAAACGGTACTGAATTCGACAAAATATTTAGTGCCATCTAGTGTTAATTCAGATGAGTATAAAACCTATTCTATTTTAAAAGAGATGTATCAAACTACTTTTTAAAAAATTGCGAGGTTTAAATATTAAAATAGCGACTTCAGGAGGTGCGTTCAAACACGTTGGGGTGTCAAACACCTACGGTGCACAAACTTTTACCAAGTGTGCACTTTAAGGATTAAATACAAATGTATTTCTTTATAATTAGTCGAAACAATTTCAATATTCGTATCATAAGTTATTAACAGTGATATAACAAAAAACAAAAAAAAATAATCAATAACCAGTCTTGTACAATCATTATAATAAATGATTACGATGATGTTGATCAAAAATAAAAAAATAAAAAAAAAAAAAACATTTAATAACTAGCAAAACAACATAATTGAACAAAATAACAGATAATTAGTCGAGATTGTTCATCATAACAGGAAAAAAACCTTTCAATAATGATCTCATCACCCATTTAAATATCTATCATTATCAAAATATCACCTACTATATATATATACTATAAATAAAATTTGAAAATACACAAAAAATGTACAAAAAAAAAAAAAATATAAAAAAAAGAAGCATAAAAATCTTAAGCGTTAAATTAGTTAATAAATGAATTTTTATTATTAGATTATTAACTATGAAATGTCTGATAACTCGTATTATTTTCACATCAAAATCAGACATTTTATATTTAATGACCTAATATAATACATAAAACAAAAACATAACTTGTTATATTTACTTTATCTAAAAATACTATATATATATACGTGTATATAATTATATATAATAATTTTATATATACTAAATTACCATATTATATATATACTATTATTTTTATTATAATATATATAATCTGAATATATATAAATTAGATGTCACGTTGTTTGTCCGCAATGGACTCCTAAACTACTGAACCGATTTTAATAAAATTTTACACACTGTGTGTAGCTTCATCTAACTTGAAAGATAGGATTGTTTATAACTCAATTTATAATTGCAATATTATCGGTATTAGGTAACTCGTTGACTTAAAGACTTGTGTATCGGACTGATTATGAGCCACAGCAGCGTGTGGCGGGGCACCTCTAGTTAATATATATATATATATGTTGTTATTTATGTTATACTTCTTACATGATTATTTATTTTTTTATTTTTATGAAAATATCTGACCTTTTCCGTGCAATTTACAAGCAATTTACATGCAATTTACATGCAATTTACATGCAATATTGTCATTCGTTTTTTAACTTATATTTGCGTATACATCATAATCAATGATTTTTTCCCTTTTAAATATGTATTTATGAATAGCCATTCATTATCTTTTTTTTTTTGTTTTCAATAAAATCTGTTGATCAAATCGAAAAATGTAAAAAAAATAAGATCGATTTGTAGAAATGATTTTTTTTTTTTTTTTAGATAAGCAAGGAAAGTTATCAATTAATAGAAATTGTAAGAGCATATACTTAACCCTTTAAAGATATCGCCCACCACCACCACCACAACCAACAATGTTAATGGTACGAATGTTAACGTAACTTATAAATGAATTTCCGTTTTGAACAGATAATTCAAGTGGAAGACTCAAGATAAGAAAAACCCGACACGAATGTTATAAGACATCTTTATTTCTTTATACAATTTTCTTTTAATTTATACTTTTATAATTTTAACTTTTCTTGAAAAAAAAAAAAAAAATAAAAAAAAAAAATTATCAAAGAAATTTATTCGAGTGTTCAGTCTTTATTGATT